TTCGTTTGAACCGGTCCAAACCGACTGAATGCCACCCCTGCATGCACATAAAGTAAGCAAAACTTTGTTGCCTCTTTGATACACCATGTGGCTGCTACAGTATGTGCACAAAACAGATTTGTTGATGAACTCCAATAGATCTGACTTTGACACATGGCATATAGATCTAATACTTCTAAATAAATAGAGATACATTTGTGGGCAAGAAAACCAACAGTTCAATACTTATAATGTTTGATGATAACCTATATCAAGGCAACTATATTGATTTACAAAACTTCCATAATGCTTGTGGAATTTTTTTATTTGTCAATTGCTTACAAGATAATAGGTATAAGTAAAAAGATAGTTATGAATACATAACTTATGTCATAGTTATTGAGGAGTTTATTTAAATTACTTCCAGTTATATGCCACTCTGTTTGTGGAAACTAAATTTTATCTGTAGTTTATCTGGCAATTATCTGTCCCTTTAAATACCTTGGGGATTGCCTGGCTGCTATTAATATTTATATTCTTTGGGGTCTTATTTAGCTATACTTAAAGTTGCTTTGCAGACTGAGATGGGAGGCTATAAATTTAATAGATAGATAGATAGATAGATAGATAGATAGATAGATAGATAGATAGACAGACAGATAGACAGACAGATACGATACTCAGATAAGATTCAAAAAGAAACCTACTGAATGTTTCATGTTGATTTTTTCTTGTAAAGCAGATTTCTAGGTAGGTTAAAAATTCAATACAGGCAGTTCTTGGTTTATGACCACAATTGGGCCCAAAATTTATGTTGCTAAGTGAGAACTTTGTTAAATGAGTTTTGCCCCATTTTATGACTTTTCTTGCCACATTTGTTAAGTGCAGTTGTTAAATTAGTAACACGTTTGTTAAGTGAATCTGGCTTTGCTTGGCAGAAAGTCACAAAAGATAATATGACACTGCAACCATCATAAATATGAACCAGTTGTCGAGCATTTGAATGTAAATCAAATGATCATGGGAATGCTGCCATGGTCATAAGTGTGAAAAATGGATGTCACTTTTTTCAGTGCTGTCGTAAATTCAAACGGTCACTTAATGAACTGTTGCTAAGTTCAGAGCTACCAGCACTAGCAAAATGAACAAAACAAGGTTTGGTTTGTACAAGAATAGGCTTATAGATAAGTGACAGAAGATTCCTTCTCTGAATCTTCAGGAATCAAGTTTGTCAAATCTCACCCAATTCAGGAATCTCTGGGTAACAGTGGGTTGAGGGTGTGGCAGGACTGCAAAGGAAACAGTGATATGCAACCCTCTTCCACCCTAATCTGCCAATACTGTTTGCTTCCCATGACATAGAAATTCAAATAATACGTGTTATATACAATTTGCAATGCACTTTCTTAAAGTTGTATTAAAACTGTGTAGCTTACAAAATTTCAAACAACTGCCACACACGTGCAATTTCAGTATTTTTAAGTACTGCAAAAAAAGTTCAAACCTTGGTATAAATAGACTTATGCCAAAGACTGGCCACAATGAGATTAAAATCCATTTATCTAGACTAGGCATTCAGCAGCCATAATGCCAACCCCAAAGGATTTCAGTGGATAGCAATCCTCTCATTTTTGTATTAACTGAAATTGCTTCTGGAACAAAACTTGCTGTGCTCAAGTATGGATGGTTTTTAAGTAATTTACTGTCCTTGCTCAGAGTTTTATGGGTCTGGTGCTGACACAGAGAAATACATGGCACAGTGTCACCACCACACTGCCAAGTTCTTAGCCTCACATTCCCTTTCCCATTGTGACATAGCAGCTCCAGTTTATGACAAATTGCAATTGAAAAACTCTCAGTCTTACTGAAGCATAAATGAAAATTAATGTTCTTGCAGCACAGTAACAGGAGCCAAGCAGAAGATGGGTAAGACATCATAGAATAATAATCATGATACAATCTTAGTAAATAGTTTGACAGTATCATGGAATAACAAGAGTTGGAAGGGACCCTGGAGGTCATCTAGTCCAACCCCGTGCTCAAGCAGGAGTCTACTCCAAATATTAGCCTTTATCTAGGATCGAACTCACAGCCTCCTGATCGTGAGGCAAGAGCTCTACCTCTAGGCCACCAGATCTGTATCATTCTCTGCTCTGACAGAATGACAGGGAGATTAAAATCTAAGTAAATCCCAACCAACTGGTCCCTAGGAGGCTCTCATAGTACAACGTATGACCACAATTGAGTCCAAAATGTATGTTGCTAAGCGAGACATTTGTTAAGTGAGTTTTGCCCCATTTTATGAGTTTTGTTGCCATGTTTGTTAAGTGAATCACTGCCATTGTTAAATTAGTAACATGGTTGTTAAGTGAATCCGGCTTCCCCATTGACTGAGCTTGTCAGGTCTCAAAAGGTGATCACATGACACTGGAACACTGCAACCATCATAAATGTGAGTCGGTTGACAAGCATCTGAATTTGATCATATGCTCCTGGGGATGCTACAAAGGTCATAAGTGTGAAAACTGGTCATAAGTCACTTTTGTCAGTACCACTGTAACTTTGAACGGTCACTAAGCAAAATGTATTGACATCTAGGATTTGGAAATGTTTTCCATACCTGCACTGCTTTACTGCAAGGGTCTTCAAAGTTGGCAAGTTTAAGACTTGTGGACTTCAACTCCCAGAATTCCTGAGCTAACATGACTGGAGGAGGAATTCTGGGAGTTGCAGTTCACAAGTCTTAAAACTGTCAAGTTTGAAGATTCCTGCTTTACTGTAATACTGATATTATTGCCCAAAGGTGCTTTTTTTCCAGAGGCAACTGGACTTTCTACTTTTTCTTTGAAGATGTTTTGCTTCCGATCCGAAAGCTTCTTCAGCTCTGAAGAAAAACCAGAAAGTAGTTGCCACTTGGGAAAAAAAACGACCTTTGGTACAACCATGCCCTGGATGACTGAGAATCTTCATAGACATTTACTGATATCATAATGCAAAAGTCCACATATGTTAGTTATCCTTACTGTTTGAGGTTTATGAATTCTCAACTTCATTTATACAGAGTTTTGATGAGTATGCCACTATTAAGCAAAACACAGGCAGAAAACTTCTTCGACTTCACTTCTTTTTGCCCTCTAGCCCTATGCTGACTTTTCTTCCTTTCCTTCTCATTGATTATGCTGGCCTCTTCCTATGTTCCAAACAGATTAAACTAGTTCCACTCCTCCTGTCCTTGCACCATCTGCTGCTGGCCTATTTCCTGCAGCGCAGTCTGTTGGCCAGCAACTCCAATAGTAAGAGAGAAAAATGTCTAGACCTAAAAGGGCTTTCCTACACGATAGTGCTCCTACTACAGCAAGACCTTATTGGGAGCCTCCTGTGCTCCTTATTGGTAGAATAAGAGTAAAGAAGGGGAAATTTAGCTAACTAGTGTCAATCCTGATAATGGTGAGCAGAGTTACACCAAAGGTATCCGCCACTGTAAGACATTAAAAAAGATACCTTTTTTGTTCCAAATGGTTTACTGCTTGATCTCATCAGATCATATTAGAATGGATGAGGAAGAAAGGGGAAAATAATCGATACAAAAAAAAAATCCAGTAAGTTTATAAGAAAATCTAATCAAAACAATCAAGATATATTGTTGAATATCATATAACCAAGATCAGGAATTGAAGGGGGAAAAAAAACCAAAATTTCACAAAATAGAGTTGATAATAAATGGTTAAAAACAAGTTCATCACATGTAACAGCGTTGTCTTTTTTGTTTTAGAAAGTACGAGATTGTGAAAGCTAAAGCAATAAGTAAGGGTGGGAACAGACATCAGATATGCAAAAGAATAATCTTAGGTTTTAAAGTGCTTTGGGGTCAAAACGTAAGTAATTGCGGGTATGTAACGTGAAACACAGTGAGTCTCAGACAGAAATAGAGGCTATGTAGGATGTGAAGCCTCCTTGAACTTCTCTGCCAAGAACAGCGGCTGGAAAAGATGAAAGATGGTAGGAACTAAAGGAATTGAGTCAATGCAGAAGCATCACGTATAATTAGCCAGTTGCCACTGGAAATGGATCCAACTTCAGGGGAGATAAGGGGAGAATACTTTATACTTAATTGAGCAGACTAAATGACAAAAGAAGGCAGGAAAGGGACAAATAAATCATGTTAAGTTAATGCGGGATAAAAATTTAAAGCAAACAACGCCTGTGAAATCATTCTACAAAGCTAAGTGGGGCTTCTCTTTTGTAAAAGACTTGCAATATAAAATCCTGATCCAATAGAAAGCACAACCAAATCAAGAAATCTTAAGAGTAGGGCTGAGAAGCCAAAACACCAGGGGGTGGGGGAGTGGAAGTGGAAACAAAACCCACAACAAATCTACTCTGCATCTGGTTCACCTTTCCACGTTTTAGCTAACTCCACCTCTTCTATTTCCAAGTTTGTAGTTGCCCGGAAAGAAAAGAAAAAAAAATGGTTTGTTTCAGCCCAAGTTTAGCCACCCCAGTCAATGACAAAAGAAACCCGGCTGTACTGAAACAATGGCAATTTCCTCTCCAGCTTGTTCGCACCCGACTGTTTGTCTTTCTTCTTTCTTTCTTTCTTTCTTTCTTTTTTTTTGGCAAAGAGACCACTCCGAGAGAGAGTCAGCAATATGACATCCTAGGTTCCTTTATGTACTCCGATCGCGACGAGCCCAGTGACGGACGTCCACCGGTCCCTTTTACGCCGCCGCCGCCGCCAGTCAAGTTGGCTGCGCCCGAGTGAGCGCGCCGTTACCCACTCCCACCTCTCTCGGCACAATGGTGCGCTTTGAGCGCGCCCGGCATCCCGGCTCTCTGCCGCCGGGGACCGCCTAGCTGAGTAAGGAGCTCGGAGACGGGCAACTCTCAGGGAGAAGGCAAACGTCCTGGCTGCTCCGTCTCTGGGAAGCAAGGACTGGCTTGGTATGGTTTGCACCGAAGCGACGCGCGCAGCAACGCCGGAAGAAAGGAAACACAAGCAGGCACATCGCCCCCGACCTTACCTCTACATTAAAATACTGCTCTGCTCGGAATCCGGTGGCACATAAAATCCAAAGCAAGGCTTGCAAGAAGAGGACCCTGGACCGATGCACGATATCCCCCCGATTTGCAGTGCTGAAGGCGAGTAAGATCATAGTGGACTATGTGCTTCAATGGAGAAGGAAGAGAGAAAGCTCCTTTTCTCCGGCCGCTGCTTTCTCCCTCCCCCTCCTCCTCCTCCTTCCCCACCTTTCGGAGACCCAAACAAAAACAGAACGCGCACACGCGACGTTTTGTTGTGCTAAAAAAGAATAAGGATAATAAAGCCCGAAGCTGGCGAAGGACGGTTAGATGCAGGTTCACCCACGGAGGTGGGAATATTGTGGGGGGGGAGGAGGAGAAGGGGGACTCGACCCTTCACTTCCAAGCGCGGAGCGGCGGCAGCCTTTAATAGGGTCAGCTCTCCTTCATGTTCCTCGCTTGTCCCGTCTGGGCGCGCAAACCGAGGTGCGACTCCTGCGAGACGCCCGGTTCGCCCAGCGGCAGCCGCCGCCGCCGCCGCTCCGGTGTGTGTGCGTGTGTGTTGTGTTGTCTTTTTTTTTCCTGCTGCTGCTGCTGCTGCTGCTGCTGTTCCTCCTTTTCCTGCTGCCGCCAAGGCCTCGGATGCTGGGCCGCCACTTCCCTGCGCTCCAGCCTCTCCGCTTCTGGTGCTTTTTCCTTCTCTCCTGCACTCGAGAATGTACATCTGCAGATCTCCGTAACTCCTCCTCTCGAGTCAGCCTCCTCGGAGAAATCTTAAAGGAGACTGCCCTTAAAAGCTCCTCCTGGATCCCAACAGGAAGGAGAGGAGGGGTCGCCGGCGTGGGGATGGCATAGTCTCCTCTCCAACCAAGCCCGGCCCGGCCCTGCCTAGAGGGAGGAGGGGGAAGAGAGGTGGCTGGCGCGGAAGCCTGAGCACGCTGGAAGGGAGCGAGTTGACGGTCCGCGTCTCCTGAACCACCCGCTTACTGTCCCGATTCGGAGCCAGGGCGAAAAAAGGGCTCCCCAGAGTTTGCGCACGAATGAACGCTCTACTTTCCAGGAATAAACAAATACCAGGCCTTCGTTTCCACCGCTGCCTGTCTGGGCTGCCACACGCATTTCTTTCTACTCGTTTCTGCACAAAAGACCTCAGAAAGGAACCGGGGGTGGGTGAGGTGAGTTGGGTCCGAATAAGAGATAAGGTGAGTTCTCGGGTTCCACAGAATCAGAAGGGGAATAAAAGGAAGACATCCCTGAAGTCAGCAAACTTATTTTGGGGTACACCGGCAGGATGGGTGCCAGATGGGAAAAGCATTCCCTTCACAACAGCTTTCAATGGGTACAAACTCTGTACATTTTTCTACCACTTTTCATTCAGTCTGATGAAGTCCAATCTGTTTCTGAACTTTCTTCCTATCTTGAGAGGCCAAGAAGTCTTGTGTTTCAAATCGTCTCTCCAATGATACTCAAGACTGACCTGGTTTTCAAGAAAAGAAGCCATTATCTTCCCAATGGATTATTTTTTTCCCAGATTGGGAAATGTGCCCCACCCAGGCTTCAGAGGAAAGGAAAGATGTATTAGAGAAAACATTGAGAGCAATATTATCCTCCAACTATAAAGCTCAGTAACATCACCAGGAAAAATATCAAATAAATTGCAAAACATTCCAAAAATAAGAGAGGCAGTAGAACAAAGGGGGGAAAAATCTGCAAACACATTTTAGAACAACATTAATTTAAAGAGAACATAGCAAAGGAAACAATGACTCAAACCATCCTCTGGGATTAGGACAAACAATAAAGCAAAGAGTTAAAATGAAAGAAAAATATTCCCCTGTGTCCAGGGTGTTAGAGTTTGGAAAATATTTTTTTTCAGCTCCTCTGAAGAAAAGATGCTTTATGAATGCATGATTTTATTTCTTTAACTTGACAAATGTGGGCTGGGCAGGAGGGGTTCCTTTCTTTCATCATGATTTCCCCAAATCAATTCTATGGTGTTTTGTTTTGTTTTGTTCCAAAATGAGGATTTCTCATTTTGTTTCAGGAAGAGCAAAATAAAGGTACATCAGAGCGAAAAAGAATGCAGATATCCTTTCTCAATTTTAAATCAATATTATTTTTAAAGTGCTTCCTTTTTCTGATCATGTTTCTTCTATTACTTCCATGTTGATACATAAATGGGAATGCATGTAAGAGCACTTACTATGCCTTTCAGTAGACTTAAAAGTATTGGTACAGTTAACTGTTTCCATCCTATATGTATGTTGGCTGAAAACAGGAGTCCCTAATTATGATGACACTACAATATGCTCTCAAAAACAATGACACAATTTTAACCTCGAGACTCTTTTAATCCCTCTTTCCCTAATTTTATTTCTCTTCAAAAGTGGTAAAGCAGCTTGTTTGTTCTTTTTAAGATGGGCCATAGAATGTCTGCCTGGTATCCTGATGCTACAACCTATCATAAAGTGATTTAAATGTATAAATACATATTAGCAAAGTGCATTAAACCATGATTTATTTAACTATGAATTGTTCAGTAAACGCTCAAACAGCATTTCCAGCCAACAGTAAACAAATCACAGTTTAGTGCGCTCAGCCATTATATTCACTCTGCCAATGAAGTTTTCCTAGATGTTAAATCTAGCCTGACAAAGAGATTTCTCATCTATCCTTCTCCCTGTCATGTTAGGTTTAGGTGGCTTTTAAAAATAAATAAGGGGATACTTTGATATATGTAGTCCCTAGCATCTGTTATAGTTCCATGTGTTATGCTACAACCCACATACTGTACTTTGAGAGAATACAGAATGTGTACAGATCTGAATTTCTCTATCCATAAAGTTCAGTCTTGATTAAGAGAGATAATGCAGGGAATTAAAAAATGCATTTAACCCATTAATTTGTAATAGTCGCATAATTCTGTGGTTGCCATTTCCTGGTTTCCAATGTATCATTCAGACCAAGATCCAAAGACCAATTTCTGCTACCCCATAAATTGTTAATCTTTTTTTTCCCAACAGTAAATTCTAAAGTGTAATATTCAACTGACAATTAGTTCAAGAGCACTAACTATGGCACTATTTCTCACAGAATGATTGCCAATTATTGTTCCATCCTCCATTTCTGTTATTTGCATCTGTATATCACACACCAAACAGAAACCTTTGTAAATGTTTCTGGAATGTCGTATGCTTATCCAAGAATGCATGTCCACAACAGTTATACATTTAAGGGATTTTTGTAAGCTCTTTTGAAGATACTTAACATATTCCCTTCATCTTTCCTTCTTATCTCAGTTTTACAAGAGGAATGAGACATGTCTATAAATTGGCAATCATACATTGACTAGAATTGATTTTGAGCCAGATTTTTGACTTTTGGAGTTACCAAATCTGCGTAGCCAAAATCTGGATAGTAGAAAGTTTTAAAGGTTTTCTTATCTATTTACTGCCATCTAGATCTGGATTTTTCTATTCCATATTTAGTACTCTTAATTGAAGTAAAATGTGAAATGTTTGTTTGTTTACTTATTGTCACATTTCTGACAGGACATACCTGGCAAACCAGCCATGACCATGTATAAGCACAACATTGAACAAAATCATTGATTAATAAACAACGACATAAATTGAATAAATAACTAACAGTAAACCACATAAAGCCTTACCAGATCAGCAGTCAAATATAAGATGCATTACGGAGTACCAATCTTAAATTGATAAAAGTGAATTTTCACATTTCATTTAAAAATAGCCAGAGAGAATGAAAATTGCAAAACACAACAGCATTTCTCTCTAAAAAAAGTGAAATGATTTGCTTGATGCTCCCCATTTTATGATAATAAACACAAAATAATATACTAGAAACAGAAGTACTTACTTTGTTGACCTTCATGTTTGGAAAATAATTGCTTCTTCGTTTTGCTTGAGGCCTAAAGGCTTTACATTTTTATAGTCAAGTTCTCTTTTCCTCACTGATATATTTTGTTACTATGGCAATCAAAAACTATTTCCATTCCATGCAGTTCACAAACTAGTCACTTGCACTTATTTCAAGAGTGATAAAATAGAAGTTGGTGATCTGGAAATTGGAAAAGGGAGGAAGGGAGAGGAGGAAGAAAGGAAGGAGAGAGAAATGCACATAATATTGGTACATCACCCTTTCTTGCTAAATAGCTGAAGTCTGTAGTGATGTCACTGGTATGCACCATGATCAATGACTTAAGCTACAGAATTGTTAGTTTCTTCCACACTAGAGTGGAATATATGTTTATTATGTTCTTATTCATTGTTAGACTGAATTTATATTATTTTGAATTAAAAAGACATGTTAAATAGCAATATGGAAAATGAGTTAATATTCCCCCTCCCTCATTTATGTACACTGTGCTAGTTAATACAAATGAAATTAGATACTTAGTTTCATAAATTGATTTAGAACACCATGTATATACACAAGCATTAATTGAAAAATGCTACCTATTTCCAGAATTGGCTGTAAAAGATCTCATGCAGGCAGATCCAGTCAATAGTCAGTAATCTCTGTTACAAAGCCAAAGCATGTCTAAACGCCGAAGGTGCATGAAATGCTGTTACCTTCCCACCAAAGTAGTCCCTATTTTTCTACTTGCATTTTTACATGCTTTTGAACTGCTAGGTTGGCAGAAGCTGGGACAAGTAATGGGAGCTCACTCCGTTATGCAGTGGTAGGGATTTGAACCGCTGAACTGCCAACCTTTCTGATCAACAAGCTCAGCACCTTAGCCACTGAGCCATAACATCACTTCATTATTCATCTTCATTAGTAACTTTCAAATTAGCATCTGTTTCCCTTTGGGTCTGAAGTTTTTTGTTTCTTCCAGTTATGATTGAGATATTATTTCTTAGAAGAATTCTTCCAAGCTATTTGGTAAAGAATTTGATTGTAGGAAATAAGGCTACACAAAGTACATTAAAATTTGTATTGCTGGACTTTTTTACCATATAACTGCTTAGGGATTTTATAGAGATATCTCAATGAAAGGCAAAGATCAATCTACTCCAAAGTTGTTACTAAAGGATTAAAGGTAGGATTTACGGCACACAATGCAAAGGAGAAGTGTTAATGGAATGTTAGTGAATCAGAGAGAGGCAATGTCATATGACCTTGGACATTGGAAATTGTAGTCATGGTGGCATA